TATTTGATAACGCACACATTTGTTAAGAAAGGTTTTTTGAAAATTTCAACTTCAATGCTTCTTGTAGTTACTTTGTATAAATCTTAATTTCCCCATAATATAATTTTTTTTTTATACAACTTAGAATGACAAACAAGCTGATGGCCCACCTGATGGAAAGTAGTAGAAAGTAGTAATGCCTATAAACATGAGCAGTACCATGGACATAACAGAGTATACTGTTTCGCCCATGATACGCCCCATACGTTGCCATTCCTGAGGACTCAGGTGTTATTCCTCTGTACCCTGTAAATTTACTGCCATATCCCACTCTTCAAACTGAAACAAAGCCATGCAAACACAACTGCTTCACGGTAGAAATACGAATGGGCCAGAAATTAGTAATAAAATTAATTTGACATAATAATTACAAGACACATGCATCAAGTTTAGATTTTTTATTAGGAGAACAAGCGAGGGCGCTGTTGCCATTAGAATAAATGTATTTATGTTGGGTTGCCAACATCGATCATAGTGAACTAAATTTAGCCTCGCTTATCATCTGATACACCTCGTCAGCGTAAACAAATCATCAATTTAAAATTATACGTTACAGTGTTTGATCTAAGCCTGTTCGAAGGCCACTAAGATTCGGTAGTCACGTTATAATACGGCTAACGTTGACGGACCTTTTATGATAAATCGTTCCCCAAAGATAATTACACGAAACATTGACTACAACATAGCTAATGGTAAGCTATTGCTGTTAATTCTATTATTAACCTACCATTAATACTGTATCTTTTTACATGACTGTTCAAAAAATGAATGTATTTTCAGGATTCATGTTTAAACTGTTTATTCTACTAGTCAAATCTGTTATTTTGGGGTGAGGAGATTGTTAGTAATGCGGACTACCAGTTCCGCTGCTAGCCACATACCCTGTCAAGTCGACCTTCACATGGTCTCCCCTGGAAATCATCGTGCTGATTTCCAGGTGTATTCATCACGATGGGCTAATTGACCTGTCTTTTTATTCTCATCTTTCATCCCTCACTGGTGCCCCGCAAACGTAAACCGTTAGCGCAGACGGAACTTGAAAATTCGTAGATAGTTGAATGTTTATTAATTTTGTGTTATAATATTAAATTTTGTATACAGATAGATATTTTACGTCCAAAAATAAAGGACAAGAGATGAAAAACAAGAAGGAAACTTGTCCAGACGTATATACGTCAATATTGACGTATTTAGTTGAAGGAAGGCTCTAATTTTTTTTAGATAAATAAAATGCTATTGATTTTTTTTTATACAACTTAAAATGACAAACAAGCTGACGGCCCACCTGATGGAATGTGGTAACCGTCGCCTATAGAGATGAGCAGTACCATGGACATAACAGAGTATACTGTTTCGCCTATGATACCCCCCATGCGTTGCCATTCCTGAGGACTCAGGTGTTATTCCTCCGTACCCAGTAAATTCACGCCATATCTCACCCTTCAAACCGAAACACAGCCATGCAAACACAACTGCTTCACGGTTGAAACACGAATGGGACAGAGGTACCCAAGCAATCGACTTTTGTACAAAGTCTTCCTCTGGTTTCATTCTAATTTCAATTCTGATTTAATTCCGCTACATTCAATTGGAGTCATAGACAAATAGACTGTCGCTCGATTCACATAACGAAAATCGGCGCCAATCATAATTTTGTTGAATAAAAACTGTAATAGAGATACGACATGTATCCACGTGCAATTTCATCGTTATTCAATCATTACATAAGAGCTTCAGGTTATGGAATGAGCTCCTTGCCGAGGTTTTCCCAAGAGACTACTGCATGGGGTTCTTCAAAAGGGGGGTAAAAAACTTTCTGCAGGGTCGGCAACGCGCGCGTAGCTAATAAGCTACGGTAACCGTTTGCCATCGGGGGGAAAGGGATTGTTAGTAATGGAGACTAAAAATCCCATTGCTAGCAATATACCCAATCAGGTCGACCTCCTCGCGGTTCCCCCTGGAAACTATCATGGTTAATTCCTGATGAATTCATCATGATGGGCTAACTGGCCTGTTTTCATTCTCATCGATCACCCTACACTGGTGCTCCGCCAGCGTATCCCGTCAGCGCAGGCGGGGTTACCATTCCATTTTCACCCATCATAAACCGTTTGCCATCAGGTGGGCCATATGCTAATTTGACACCTCAGTGGTATAAAAAAAAGCAGGTTTTCTTAAAGTGGAGTCTACGAATCCCTTAGGGGTCCGTGGCGTGTGTATCAGGATTCCGCAATAGGTCAGTCAACTGTAAAAATATTTATTAGAAAATTGTGTAGCATACTCGACGAGACGCATCGTCGTCGTCAGGTCAATAGAATCTACTGAAGCTACCACTAAAAGTTTTTTTGTTTTATAAAAAATCCTTTTTCTTTTCCTAAATTTTAGGACCTAACTAAAATGTCATTTGACAGAGGTCCGTGGAATAGTTTAAATTGTGAAAATGGTCCGTGACTGCAAAAAATTTAAGAAGCCCTGCATAAGAGGAAAAGGGATTATTAATATTATAATAGGGTTTTACAGCCTCATTGTTAGCTATATACCCTGTCAAATTGATCTCATGGTCACCCTGGAAACCATTGTGATTAATTTCTGATGTATTATTGGTCACGTTGGATCAATTGACTCGCTTGCATTTTCACCTCACTTTTAATGCATTAGCGACTCCCCTCCCCTTCACTCCCCACCTAGTTTTTTTTTTTGATCGGTGAAAATGGTATGATAACCCCACCTGCGCTAACGGGATATGCTGGCGGAGCACCAGTGAAGGATGATAGATGAGAATGAAAACAGGCCAATTAGCTCATCATGATGAATTTATCAGGAATTAACCATGATAGTTTCCAGGTAGAACCACGAGGAGGTCGACCTGGTTGGGTATATTGCTAGCAATGGGATTCTCAGTCTCCATTACTAACAATCCCTTTCCCCCGAGTTGGCTGTACTAGCCACGACTCATATGCACAACTGCCTAAATGAGAGGTTAAGCACGGAAAAGAGAGTCCAATTTACATTACATTACATTCAATCTATTCGTCTGAACGTGATTCAATGACAGACAACTTTACAAACTTTCACATTTATAATACTAGATTAATACGAGGTCTGTCCGGAAAGTTCGTATAAAAGTGTTCTGGAATGCGAGAAAGAGGAGTGGGGAGGCCAGGTAAGCGCAGGACCCCTTCCTTATGTCCCTAACAATGCTTCAGTTCTGGTCTGACCGCCGTGCGGTGCGAACTGGCTTGTCACGCCATCTGTGAAGTTACCTCTTAACGAAACCCCGTCGGCATGGAGCCCGCTTCCGTTGAAGAGCAGCGCGTCGTAATCAAGTTTCTCTCGAAACTCGGCAAGAATGGCCGTGAAATTTTTGCCGATCTCAGAACAGTTTATGGGGATGATGCTGTGAAGGAACCAACCGTCCACAAGTGGCTAAAAAGATTCAGAGAGGGCCGAGACAATGTTGATTGTTTTTTTCGATGTTCGGGGGATTGTCCATCAAGAATTCGTCCCTCCAGGCCAGACAGTTGATGGAAAATTCTACGTCGATGTGCTCAGACGCCTCAAAGCTCGTGTGGCACGAGTTCGTCCAGAATTGGCGCGAGAGGGGCGTTGGATTCTTCACCACGACAATGCCCCTGCCCACACCTCTCTTGTTGTCCGTGAGTTTTTGAGTAAAAATTCCATTACGGTGACCGAACACCCCCCTATTCGCCGGATTTGGCCCCGTGTGACTTCTTCTTGTTCCCAAAAACCAAATTGGTACTTCGGGGGCGGCATTTGGGGGACATAAATGAGATAAAAAAAGCTACGACGGGGCAGCTGAGAAACCTACAACCAGAGGACTTTCAAGGAGCCTTCTCACAGTGGAAACGGCGTTGGCACAAGTGCATTATGTCACAGGGGGAGTACTTTGAAGGGGATAAAATTGATTTACCTGAATAATTGTAAAATAAAATTTTTAAAAAACTTTTATACGTACTTTCCGGACAAACCTCGTACTTTTAGAGTAATTTATTTACATAATTTAATATAAATCATTGCAATTTCTGCAAAATAGAGATGATAAAATCGACAGAGACAAGTATAGAATTAAATCACATCCAAGATAAATACTTTTTATTTAGGAATCAGTTAAAGTAGGAATAGTATGTCTATATGTGAAATTAATTATTTATGACGTTTTATGACTAAATTTGTGACCCTATTTGAATAAAAATTGGCGTAGGGGTAGTTGGAAATGATTTGGTCAATATAAGTGCGTCACATTATTGCGTCATCATCACGTAATCATCAAAAATTTCGTTTCATTTAAATGTAGTAGTACTATTACTTATACTCTGGTATAAAGAAATATATATTTTTAATTAACACAAATATATTCTTTTTTAGTTGAAAGAGACTAGATACAAAGATAAAAAAGTTTCTCTTCCAAAAGGAAAAGTCCTGTTACATTACAAAATATTATTATAGGGCGAAAATACTTTATCTAGGACACAATAAAAATTAAAAACATAAACAATGATCACGTGCTCTGACTAATACACGTGACTGAACCATCCAGGAATAGAGTCCTGACCTTCCTCATGACTTACAGCGCATCCCTGCAGCCCGTGAACCGCGCACAATCAATAAAATACCTTCAGGACTTGTAAAATAGCATGCACGTTTTTACTCTATATGCCAGGTGGGTGCAACGTGGTTACAATTAATTACTACTTCAATTTATATTTTGTATAGATTCCAATATATTTTTTTTTATTTATATAGAGAAAAAAATATGCACTTAAACAACTTTAACTTTGTCTCCTAAAAAATATACACGTTCTTAATTTAAACTAATTAACTGAAAAAAAATGTTATCAGTGAACGCAATATTATTATACTCCTGTTATCGTAAATTATACTTATCCAATTTCTTTATGCATAATTATGCAAAATGAATATAATAACAAATTCACACTTACGCAATTTATTACACAAGATCTTAAAAATAAAAATGTTCTTATTCTGATTGTTTGAGTTATCATAAGACTGGCCATAAAAGTACACTATTTTTTCGTCTTTCAAAATTTTCATTCAAATATGGAATCGATGACGCGATATGCGAACATCCGCGGCGCGCTTACTGCACTGACTGCCGACATCGAAAGTTTACTAGAGATGGGTTACCTTTGTGTTTTCGATATCGATTAAACCAACCACCGCATTAATAAAGGGTGCATTTTCACGTCACCCTCCTTACTATTAAAGTAATAAAATTAATAATTAAGAAGTACGTCCAAAGATTGAGCTATACAGATGTGTTACTTCTTAGTTTTCTCCTCTTAAATGTGTGCATTTTCAGTTCCCCATTCCCCCATTTTAACATCATGTAATTAATAATTGGACTCTCCAAAATACTGGCATCCAATTCAATACACCCAACTCAACTACAACTATAGGTCGTAACGTACTTTTTCAGTGACTTTATAAAAATCATAGAGGACTAATAGATGACAGTAGACATTAAGAATTTTTTGCAAAAAGATTTGAGACACATATTATTAAAGACAACTCCAAATCCAAAGTAATGTATCATAACTATTTGCAAAAAAGTTTTTAAGTAATCAATAGTTGAGTGCCCATAATTATATCCAAACTTGTATTAGCTTTAGATTAGAGGGCGCTGTATTATATCTCCAGTGGTACTTATTATATATATTAGTATATCTCATTTAACATTATTTTTGCACAACTGTGATAAAAATAATTTAAAGGGTTATAATATCGACGTTAGAGGGATGTAAAACATCCCTATTTGGTGATGACGTCACGTCTGGCTGAAGGGCTGAAGGGTGACATGCGCAAAAACGGTAGCCATTTTCTATACATTCGGCTATTTCCGTACAAGATCGTTTATTTTCGCCAGGTCTAGTCATATGCAGGCTGTACCAGACAAGGTTCAAAAGCTGTAAATAATTTTCAGGCGATTTTCAATCTTGTGCAGTAAATAATAAAGTTTTTAAGGGATGAATAAATAACATTGCAATAAATAGATTAATGTGAATGTGCTGTACCTACAATCTACAGTATTAGCTTAGACATAGGCTTACTGGGAATTTACGTCATATCTAATTTTAAAAGACCTTGATAGATACAAAACACTAATTTCCTAACAACCTATTATAATGTGTCGACAAATTTTAATGTTCATTTACTAATAAAACCACACTATAGCCTAAATATTATGTACGTATTGTAAATGATGAGAAAAGGAAGGAAGGGATTGTCTGTAATGGGGACACTAGTCACCAGTGTCAATATACCTTTGCATAAGGACTACCTACTCACCGTCCCGTTGAAAACGTTAATGGTGAAAACATAATAGACGAGGATACCATTCTATTTTCAGCTGTCAAACAAATGAAGATCAAGACTGTTGCAAATAAAACGCTTATCCCACCCTTCAAACCAAAACACAGCCATGCAAACAACTGCTTCACGGTTGAAACACGAATGGGACAGAGGTGGCTAAACAAACGACTTTTGTACAGTCTCCCTCTGGTAGAATTATAAGTAGATTATAGAGTTATATGACAGAAAAATACAATGTAATTGAGAACTTTTTCCTTTTTTGATGTCAATTGAAATTACAGGTGAATAAAGAATTTTTTAAATACATATGAGTCTCGCTAAACTAGGTTTTCTACAAAGAAGATGGAGGCATTCAATTCAGTTGCTTTTTTTTGGTTTTTACCTCATAACTCTCAAATCGATTTGGAAAATTCTTTTTTTTTTTTATCTAAACGATATACTTGCAGGTTATTCCTATAGATTTGTAATGTTAAAGATTTCCCAAAATAGTGTCTTTTTTTTATACAACTTAGAATGGTAAACAAGCTGACGGCCCACCTGATGGAAAGTAGTAACCGTCGCCTATAGACATGAGCAGTACCATGGACATAACAGAATATACTGTTTCGCCCATGATACCCCCCATGCGTTGCCATTCCTGAGGACTCAGGTGTTATTCCTCTGTACCCAATAAATTCACGCCATATCCCACCCTTCAAACCGAAACACAGCCATGCGAACAACTGCTTCACGGTTGAAACACGAATGGGACAGAGGTACCCAAGCAATCGACTTTTGTACAAAGTCTGATTGCAGAATACTCAGTTTTATTTTTTTACCATTTTATTTTGTAATTAAATAATTATCATTAACTTTCATTTGTTTACTAGCAGTATTATACCTAAATTTTGAAGGCCATTGTTTTGGCAAAACACACATGTTCATAAATTTTTTTTTTATGGATGATAATGGAATGGTAATCCGCCTGCGCTAATAGTATACAGTGGCGGGGCACCAGTGAGGGATGATACTTGAGAATGAAAAGACAGCACGATGTCATAATATATTATTAACAACACCTGTATACCGTGTTTTTGAGCAAATAAATTATTATTATTATTAGAAATCACATTGAAATTTGTTCTAAATGTTTAGTTTTTAAAAGAAAATAACTAGTTGTTGTCGTTTTATTATTAAACAACACAGTTTTAAATTATATTAAATGTGGTCATCCACGCACATATGTAAATTTCACCTGTATTTGTTTTATTATATCACAACCTTATTCTCTTTCGATGACCTTGAGGTGTTTCACCTTTGACGGCTGTGGGGTCGATCTCCTACCGATATAAACATTTTTTCATCATCCACGTATTCATCAGTATTCATATGTATCTTTTAGAAAATTCTTGTTTTATCTGAAAGGATATACTTACAAATTGGTCCCATAGAAATTTTATTGAAATCGATTTAATAGTTTTTATAATCAAATTAACTGGATTTTTACAACAGAGTCAATTATTTTTTTCAATCTGAATCTAGTCTATAAGAACCGATAATCACCTTCCATCCTAAATAAATAATTATAAAAGCTTTTCTTACTTTTTTATGTTGTCTTTTTTTTATTTTATTTCAATTGTATTATTATTATTATTCTAGCATCATTAAAACTAGTTTTTTGTTCTTTGCTTACTATCTTTAGCCATCTATAATTATTTTGCTTATCTATTAGACTTTCCTATAGATAACCACAAATGTCTAGAGTCACGCAACTTTTGCAGTTTGGCACGTCATACTGTAGCTACCTATTGTCCTACATCAAAATAATGAAGTGTAAAAATAAATTTCGACCACGGTAGGCGAAATCTGAAAATAATTTTGGAACTGTTAACACTAACTTTGGGAAGCGTCCGTCTTAAAATATTACCAAAGCCAAACTGCGGTTGCCAACCCACCTGCCAAGCGTGGCAACTACTGGCAGATGCCGCCAAGGGGTAGGTATGATGATACCTCTTATAACTAATCCAGTCCACATGTTTAAATCGAAATCATATAGGTCTAAAGAAGACAAGAAATTTTTAGACTCCCATACTAACATGGCGAAAAAATTAAATAAAAAAAAAAACAAAGAAATTATACATGTTTTACACTAACATGCCCTATACAACACTAGTTATAAGCATAGGCGTATTTTAAAGGGGAAAAGAGGGGAATTTCTTATTTTAGAATAGATTGAGCTCACCCCCATCGGCGTATTTAAGATTATTTTCCAGAAAGGGCCTAGCCCCTTAAAATATGCGTATATGCACTCTCCAATCTCTCTTTATTTATAACTGACAACTCCACTTTTTATTCTGGGGTAGGCACTAGACAATTCTGGGGGGAAAGGGATTGTTAGAGTTTGACAGCCCTATTGCTAGCAATATGCCTTATTAGGTCGACCTCCACGTGGTTCCCCCTGGAAACCATCGTGAACAATTCTTGTTGAATTCGTCATGATGGGCTTACTGACCTACTTCATCCTCACCTATCATCCTTCACTGGTGCCCCGCCGGTGTATAGCGATGGCGCGGGTGGGGTTACCATTCCATTATCATCCATTAAAAAAAAAACTAGACAATTCTGGGATGCGCAAGGCCCATCCGGTCTCCCTTGAAAAATAATTTTATTTTTTATAATTTTTAAAGAAGTCTTACAGTTGTAATAACTTAATAATTAACTATACATAACAACAATAAGCAAATTAGAAGCTACCACATACGAGTATAATTAACGAAAATTGAATTGCTTACAATCTAGATAATTAATAAAGTTTACAAGTTGAACGTCGTTAAAATCAATTAATGAGTATTTGTAATGTGCGATGGTATTTCTTATATAACAGCTCTTACTATTAAATATATCTATTTCATTATTATTATTTTTTTATACAACTTAGAATGGCCAACAAGCTAACGGGCCACCTGATGGAAAGTGGTAACCGTCGCCTATAGACATGAGCAGTACCGTGGACATAACAGAGTATACTGTTTCACCCATGATACATTCATTATTCCTACTATATTCATACATCATTGAAAATAGTGGAAGCTCGTATTATGAAACAATTGCTTCTGTACTGGGTGCAAGTAAATAATCTGTTAAAGTAAATACTTGGTGTAATGCGGGCACCTTATAGAAAGTATGAACTATAATAATAATAATTAGTTTATTCATCTCCACAAATTACAGTGTGAGGATTATTTACTTTATACAAAATAAAAGTATCGTAATTTGTGGGAGATCTGGAGCCTAAACTAAGTCTTAACTTGTATCTTAGACACTAGGTCCCCCCCAATAAAGTAGTGACAATTCGAAGTAAAAGGTAGTTGCGTGAAGTAAAAATAAATATGATTTAATATTAGAATTAGAAAAGCGCGCGCGTGTGCGTGCGATGTGCGCGTGCGCGTGTGTGCGTGGCTGCGCGTGTGCGTATGCGTGTGTGTGCATACACGTGCGTGTGTGTGTATGTGTTTTATTAGGTATGTATTGTATTTGAATTACAAATAAAAAAAAACCCTGTGTTGTAAAAAAAAAACCCTTCCTTTTCTATTTTTTTTTTTTAATTAATTACGTACATAACCGTAGATAACACTATTATACACTATTATAATTTTATTACGTTCAATTACTTTTCTTTACAGTGACAATTTGTTGTGCTTACATTAACATGCTGAATAACTACATAATCTCTTCCCCTTTGAAGTCGGTTAACATTTGAAACGTGTCTCATCTCGAACACCCTTCAACCTTCAGTTACAATTTCGGTGGCATTGGCAACGTGCCAGAATATTAAAATCGATGCGCTAACGAGTGACCTACGAGCCCGCTATAAGTTGTCGATGAACGCTGTCGACTAGTAATTTATTATCGGGAATAAATCAATTACCTACTTAGTATCTAATTACAAAACTTTGTTTTCTATAAAAAATCCAGTTGTGTGTGTAACTATATAATAATATATGTAACTCCTCAAACTTTTTAATCCTCGGAAAAAGCAATGTTATAATTATAAACAATTAAGAATAAATGTTTGTTGGTAGGTGCTACTCTTGTCATTCGTAGACAGCAGTTCTTTTCTTTTCATTTAAGAGTTTCCTCTTGTCGGTGCAACTAATTCATGCATCTTCCTCCAGCCAGCTCTATCCCAGGCTATAGCCTTTATCTCCCTGTACGACATGACGCCTAGTGTTTCCTTTATCTGTCCCATCCTCGGTCTTCTTCTTCCTCTTTTGCCCTCTATTTTTCCTTCTACTATGCTCTTTAATAATTCTCTCTGCCCTTGGGCAAAAGAGGAAGAGACAACAGTTACCCAAATTGAAATCACGGCCGGTTTAAAATATTTTAATCATACTATCATCCTCATTATAATCAACTGTTATCTGTCCACTGCTAAATATAAGTCTCCCCTTTAAGGGAGGCTTTTGCCAGTAGTCGCCAGATTTGGCAAACGGGTTTTTTTATTGGGTGAAAATGGTATGGTGGGGTTACCATACACTAACGGGATACGCTAGCGGAGCACCAATGAAGGGTGATAGATGAGAACGAAAACAGGCCAGTTAGCCCATCATGATGAATTCATCAGGAATTAACCATGATAGTTTCCAGGGGGAACCGCAAGGAGGTCCACCTGGTTGGGTATATTGCAAGCAATGGGATTCTCAGTCTCCATTACTAACAATCCCTTCCCCCCCTTGGCAAACAGTTTGACAACCGCAATTAAGCTTTCATTGTTTTAAGAGGGATGCTGCTGCCCATTCCCAGACTATTAATTCCTTTAGTGGACTTTTAAGACATTAGCGGGAAAGAAAAGTAATAATTATATTATAAACTTGTGGAAATAAATCAATATCTATTTCTTCTTTCTGCATGGCCACACAGTTTATGACTCGATTCTTAGAAAAAAAAAAAACATTGGAGATCTTTCCTATATTTTCCCGCCATTTTAGTACCTTTTTTTAGGTAACTTACCACGTTTCGTCGAATTTGAATGGATCCATTGTATATCCCCAGAAAATAGGAAAATATAGTTCCCATTAGGGAAAAAGGTAAATAAAAAATAACAATAATTTTGACGCATGTTTTATTTTCCAGCGACAGTCACGGCCCTCCAAATAAATACAGAAACTGGAAAGTCACAACGTAATAACAATATTTACAAAGAATTTTAATGTGGTTTTTCACTTAAAAAAAATATTAAATTAAATAAGTAACAGCATTTATTTAATTAAGAGACCAAAATAATAAATTTTATAATCGGTGGCAGCCAAAAGCAAAATGTGTTTTACGTGTTAAAATAAATAACAAATGAAATGTACCTATGTCATTTAAATACCTTTTTTTTTATCACATAGATACCAACAAACAATTTGAACACAGTTTTTACCACGTGACCTGCGCAATAACAATTTCATACATAATCATAAAAGTGTTTACTGCGCAGGCTTAATTGTCTATGGTTTTTAAGAGTTAATTTGAAATATGTCAAAAGTAAACTTTTAAAATGCAAAATAGAATAGTTATGTATATTTCAATCGATAAATTTATTATTTTCTTCCATTGTTTACGAATTATAATAATATAGCGACTATTAAAAAATAATATGATATATAATAATAATAATATAATTACAAAGTATCACTAGAGAACAGTATATTTTCCATATTCTATCGTGTTATTCGTAAGAACCTTAAACATATAATAAACCTAATTTCAAAAATTGTATTTTGTCTCTTTCTTACAGATAAAGATATCATTTTAATAGAAATAGACGAAATATTTCAATAGCTCAAACAGGTTTATTAGACATTGACAGTGTTAGAGTTGTATTTTACAAATAAATTGCCAAAAAACACTAGTTGTATCATAACTAACTTTTAAATCATTTTTGGCATTATGATTGAAAAAACCATAGACTTATTGTTAATCTTTATCAGTATATTAAAAACTTTTTTTTCTAGCATACTACGTTCTACTACAATCTATGCAACAATGTATTTATACAATAGAATAGCAAAATATTCATTATCTGATGCAAATTACTAGATTTTAATTGACAGAAATTTAAATAGAATTTTGGCTGGATTTTACAATTTTTAATATGGCAAGATTATATACTAGATTATAAGATTAGTATACTCATATGGTCTTCTACATAAGTTAATAGTAATATATATAGAATGGAAAAGATGAAATTCAAAAACTTTCTTATACCTTGCGCCTATTTTATCTTAATGCATAGACAATTACAGTAGTTCTTATATTTTTTTTTATTTTCATTTATTATGACCAGTATTTTTTGAATTCCAATTTTAAAATATGATATTCAAATATGATGATAAGCATTGAATTGAAAACACACTATTAATTAAGAGTTTAAGCAAACTATCACAATTTTGTGAAAATATTTAATACTATTAGAATTTACTTTTTAAAATACCTATATCGATTTACGTTTCACATATCTAAATCTATCTACACAAATTGTTTACGTCCAGATATATTCTTTAGGAATGATAAATAGTACGGTACGAGAATTTAAACTTTATATCTACACTACTTTGAACTATTTTGGCATACAATATATAAAAATACATCATTCTCACAACACTTATGGATACATGAAGTTTCCAAATGTGTTTGGATCGTAAAATACTTAAAGAAAAATAGTTATTGTTTAAAACGAGAACAGAACCATCCAATCACTTGGAAATTTCATTCCGTACAATTTGATAAGAGCAGATATGATATGCAAAGCAAAAAGGCATAATGTTTACAGTTATTGAATTAAACTTGCAATATTTTTTGTTACGATAGCATATTTTGTTAGGACAGTTTTATTAGAAGAAATACAAGCAAATGCAGAAAAAAAAATAATAAAAACTTTAGCAATGAAAATATAACAATTCCAAGTGTCACATGTTAAACCACACTGTCTTTATCAGGTAATTAATACCTTAGATTATATAGGATAGAGCATAGCATATCAAAAACGTGTCAAAATTTAGTCAGTTAATTTGACATTTGACAGACTATTTTTTTTTTAATTCAAACAATGCATTTTTTTTATTTGAATTTGGAACAATTTTTTCTGATATAAATATGTTGCTTAAAAATAGGAGGGAATTTTAACAAAAATATATTTTATGTCTACACTCAGATGTAAAACAAAGTATTCAGCAAAATATTTCTTTTTGAAATATATTCATTAATTTTTTTTTTTTTTTTTTTTGATCTTCAATTTATGATTATTTCTCCCATACATTTAGTAGTAAATGTACATTATGGTAACTCGATTCACGCACACAAAGATAAAAAAATGACCTGTTTTTGGTGAAGCATTTGGGTGTGATACTCTATCTATATAATCCAAGATTAATACGTATTAACATACGAAACAAGTCTTTGGCACTTACAATATTCCATAAGAACTCTGTAAAACCACATCAAATTATTGAATGAAAGAAATAATAAAAAAAATATATTAATTAACAGCCTCTATGTGTTTCTATATATAATTTATTTTTTTTATATATACTAAATAATTTTGTTATATCCTTTCATCGAATTTTTAATCCATAAAATAAACATATAGGTAAAACAAAAAGGTTTCCGTATTATCAGATATTATGGCGTTTTCTTTTGTTTTTTTATTACTGAATTTATTATAAAGAGAAACTAATATTGTTTTCTATAGAAAAACAGATTATTGATGGATAATTGTATACAATATTGGATAATGCTATACATAATATATATAAATATATCTTCGTAAAGTATGAACATTATTATGAGAATTTAATTTCTAATAATATATCTCTTCACTACCAATTTAGAATTAAATTTAAACATTAAGAAATTCCAAGAAGTTTCAAACCAAAAGCAGTAAAATTACTGTTTTCTTTCTATTGCAAGAGGTTTTGGACTACACATAGTCGTCAACCTTATGGGTACTCGGGGGCTCCAGCATCCATAAGAGGTAAATAGCGGGTCCGGAGCACCCATTAGGCTAGACATCTTAATATAATTAAAATAATCCTCATCTCATTATCTGTCGTTTAAATTGTTTGTCCAACAAAAAGTGTCTTTCAGCTGATGCAGTAATAATTATGTACCTAGTTAACAAAAGACCCGTGAAGTTTTCTAAAAGCCAGCACCCCTGACTATGGTTACTGTATTAAACGAGCTACATGCTTATTTAAAACCTTTTTTTATAATCCAAATACTATAAAAAAGGAAAGAGTTGACTTTTTATTTGTAAAATATGATTTTAAAGATTTTTATTATATCATAAACTCAAAAATATCATTTTAAAAATTATTTTACTCAATACATTATCAGCGAGTAACATGACTGATATTTCGACTTTTGACCAATTTCATTGTTTCAGTGATAATCCCAACAAATATTTAGTTACCTTTTCATTAATTTTAGTTAATTACAAATTACCCTAATTGGTTATAAAACTTCTTTGAAATTCCCCATATATGCTTTGAAGGAGCAATACTTCTCACGTTGTCACACTTCAGTATTACGGAATATAATAATTATTATTATTGTATACTTTTAAATTGTAAACTCTATTTGTTACACAATAAGATTTACTTTCGAGTATTTTACATATAATGTAATAACGACTATTTATTATAATAATATTAATAATTAATACGAATTTGGCATTCTTACTTCAACATTGATCTTCGATTTTCCAATACGAAGCACATACGTCCAAAACTTCACAGTACTAACGTAGCGTCAACTCAACACTTAAAATTGTCTTTTACAAAGAAGAAATTCTATCTGATAGAACTATTAATAAATAATCACAACACAAACCATTATTGCAGTTCATTGTCTTTGTACTAAAATCAGAAACCGCACTGTGAACACTGTTATTAACGAAAACAGTTAACTGTTATTTTAGCAATAATCACATTTAACGTTGTTTCGTTATAACAACACGTTATTTCGTTATCCGATTACGTTGCACCGCTATAACGGCTTGCGTTTCGTTATAACGTTAATAGTTATTTATTAACTTCGCCTTTGAGAGCGCGTTCGAGGACCGTTTTGGACGCGATCTCGACGGTGACGGTTTTGCTTATCGTCGACAGTTGTGTTTGGTCGGCTTCTGGGCTCTCTGACAGGGGCTCCGTCAGTATCTGGAGGGAGGACACCTTGGCTCGCTGGTATGCTGTCACCGTGTTCATTCCGAGGAATCTGGAAAGATCGATTAAATTACTATTATGGCCAAAATATTCATAAATACATTATTATTATACTATAGTTTGCTTGTAATTTAGTTATACAATAAACATATTTATCGTATTATTTCGGATGTTTCAGCATAAAAATAAATATCTGAGTAGCTGATACTGCTTTTAAATCGGTTTTAGCGTGTTGGTAAAGTATCTAAAGAATATGTGTTAAAAAAGTTTACGTTATAGCATGGTCAAAATTTTCTGTGACCTATCGGATTAAGAGGTAAAAAATTTATACGTTTACTACTGGATTTCATGATTTGTGTTTTTATTAGATTACTAGCTGTAGTTAAGAATATCAGTGGGAATCTTTTGGAAATATTAGTGCCACCCTTCTCCTTCTAGTGTTTGCGAGTCGTCAGCTATGCTACTCTGTATTTATTCTTATGATGTTGGATTGTGTTTAGTTGGTGGTGCCGGAGCCGGCGCCGTACCTGACGGCGACGTAGCAGACGAGCAGCGCGGCGCCGGCGGCGAGCACGCGCACGACGGGCGAGGCGAACAGCTGCACGGCGACCCAGGCCGCCGCGCCCGCGCCGCACATGCACGCCACCGCGAACGCCGTGCGCACCCAGTGCACGCACGTGAACCCGCGCTCCCACTCCACCCTGCGCACCACTTGTCATTAATATAACTAGCCGTTTCCCGCTGCTTTGCCCACGTCAATCAGTATATAGTTATACGTTAAATTAGATTTTTTTGATGATTTTTTAACTTGAAAAATCAGTTTAAAAGAGATTAATTTCATTAAAAGAATCGTAACAGTTTAACTAAGATATTTATTTGTACATCAATAATTTACAACATTTACGATTACTTAAATCAAATGACAATAAAAAAATGACTAAACATATATTTATAATATGACTGTTCAGTAGAAATATATGTTCATATATTTAAAAAAAACATTGACACTAACAATGTTTTGAATACAACTGTGTTACAAGTTTCTACATGAAAATAAAAAGAAAGGAAGGAAGAAAGAAAAGAAAGAAGCTTACCTATTCGTTTCCTGAACAATGTAGGGTGTATTGCACACTTTACACTTCAGTCCGTCTTGGTTGGCTGCACTCTATTAACAATAGTAGATATATTGTAGTATCCTGTATTATATTTATAAAGAAAAAAGTACACTAAACTGCAGTGAGTTTATTTATCTTGATTACCACCTACCTCGACGAGCCACCTGCGCAGACACTCATGGTGGACTGCGGAGACATCACCGGTGCACCGGCATGGCCTGATGAGTGGCTCTAGCTTGGAGCTGTCGTAGCAGATCCAGCAATCGCGAGCCGACCCTACGCTGCCCACCAACGAGTCCGTTTCCACATTCTGTATGGAATTATTCGGATTTAAGATAATTGCATTAATAGGAATAAAAATTGTTGCTATTTTTAATCATTTAATCAAATGATTTTTAATTGTAACGGTTATTTAACCACTGCTATAAATCGCTACTGAATTATAATTGCTACTATGTGCGAAAAATCACTACAATTACTTGCTATTGTTGATTTTTATGATCTGCGCGCTAAAGTCTTCATTTGCTCAGCTTTTACCGATCCAGTTAGACATCATGATCACTCAACTGACTACGATCACTTTTCATAATTAACCAACTATTATACATATTTCATATGCTACTTGTGAACGCGGGCTCATTATTCTATATCCGCGCACACGCGGTATTCACTCCAAAACATGTTTGCATAAATGGTAATTGATTCTGCGACAAATATGACCAGCCCATTTACTACTTTAGCCATCATAAAGTGCACAATATATTTCATTTTTACCCTAACATTATAAATCTGAATATGAATTTGCTTTTTTTTTATTAGTTCTTTAAAGGCTAAAACAATCACCATCTTATTTATTATATAAGTAGCATTAAATAACTCCCTGTCACGCGGACGAAGTATAAGGACGAAGAAAGAAAGAAAAGAGAAAGTAAAAGACGAAAAATATTTATGCTCGGAGCGACAAGCTAGTTCGGGGATTAGGAATAGGAATTTAATAACTAACTAGTTATAATAACTGACTATGAGACATATAATCGAATAACTACTTACGAGTTGGAACATAGTTACTAATTATTTTTAAAACAGTTACTTTTGTAAGTAGTACGTCTCGTATTACCATAATCTCGTGTAAAGACCCAAGTCTAGCGAGAACTGACAGTAAACTGCCTCCTAACAACGTATATCACTCACCACGCTGGAATCTCTCAAGCCGGAAGGTAAGCCCCGATCGTAATCCACGTCCCTTACTCTGGCTGGCGGCCTCAGTATAGTGACAACGAGCCGCCATACAAACAACTGCCAGTAATGAACCACTCCGACTATATACAACGCTTTTTGCGGCCATCTATCTCGCCAGAATTCGGCCAGACTCTGGAGATTCAAGTGATATGCATAAGAAGGAAGTTAATGACCTGCGAGTGCAATTAGGACCGTACACTTGAGAGCAAATAAATAGTCATCAACCCGTATTTACTTATTAATTTATTACTATAACTTTAAAATTACAACGAGCAGGTAAATATGTGATCTAATCAGACTAAAGCGATATCTTGAGCATTATTTGGTGGCAGTATTCTACCAGCTCTAATTTTAAGCCTCCATACAAATAAAGAGAGAATAATTTTATTTTATTTTTGATTCATAATATTAATGTTCTAATACGTTCTACAGCATGGGTAGATTTTTACACCCTTATTCATAAAAACTGAAATCTCCTACAAACCTATTTTAACTATTACACTGTTGTGTCACTTTCATTTACACTAAGAATTTGGCATAAAAGAAAGAGACAAAACAGTCTTGCAGCTAAAATAGATTTATGAGATGTTTGACATTTTTATGAATAGGGGGGGTAATTTTACTAATAAAGATTTCGATTTCGCCCTGTATACATTATCTTACGCATGAATTTCATAAAATATCGATATATTTAAAAAAATAATACTGGCTTATCTGATACAGTGTGTAGTTACACGATAAATAAACAATAAGAAGTGGGGACTTTATTTGCTCTCCAGTGTACATTAACAGTTTAGTAGCATGGCTGTTTTTATAAGTCATCAATATTACTATTATGTGTAGATAATGCAAATTAATATTGAGTTATGTGTTGATGATGTACATTAGTAATGAGTTATATGTATAGATGATGCACATTAATACTGAGTTATGTGTTGATGATGCACATTAATACTGAGTTATGTGTTGATGATGTACATTAGTACTGAGTTATATGTATAGATGATGCACATTAATACTGAGTTATGTGTTGATGATGTACATTAGTACTGAATTATGTGTATAGATGATACACATTAATACTGAGTTATATGTTGATCATGTATATTGATAATGATTTATGCATAGATGTTGTACATTAATACTGAGTTATGTGTTGATGATGCACATAAATAATGAGTTATGTATTGATGATGCACATTAATACTGACTTATATGGAGATGACGCACATTAATACTGACTAATGTATTGATAATGTACATTAATAATGACTTGTATTATAAAAAAATACAACTATCTAATATATGTAATCTTCAAATTAATAAAAGCAAAAATTAAAACAAAGTTATTAGTGAAAATAATAGAATCAATAACGTCATTCATTAATGGATGAATATAAGATATGAGAGTTGAGAGTAACGGTCACAAATTGCGTTGCATTGCCGAAGCATCACTAATTTTATACTCGAAATGTAATTATGAAAACGCTGATGCAAGTAGTTCGTCGCATATGATCGACCTACAATTGAAATTGTATAGCTGAAGACTGTATAACCCGTCAAAATTAAGGAGATATGGTACGTGGAAGACATTACACTGATTTGGAAACGATCCAGATTTGTTCGTTTATGAATGACTATCCAAAATCCATGATAAAAAACACATATACTCGAAGCACGGATGAAATAGAAAAAATAATTATATATATTTTTTTTATAAACTATATTAACAATGTCTGCCAAGGAACTACTCTTCTTGTCTTTGAGATATCAGTGTTAAAATAATGATATTTTAATTATCAATGTTCTAAAAATATCAATTATTACGGCTCAGTTATCCTTGAGTCATTGGCGTATTTAATATTATTTTCCAGGGCGAGGAGGAGGGCAGGCTACTTGACATAGGTTTTATTCCCATCTCTCATCATTCATTAGTGCCTTGGTTACCATTCCATTACCATCCATTTAAAAGCCAGCCACAATTATGGTATACCCACCCCCCTCCCATAACCTGCATAAAGTACGTCTATGGCCCATACCTTGGCGTCGTGTCGGTGCGCGAGCAAGTCTGCTAGCTTGGCGTCGTCGAGCTGCCGCGCGAGCAGCCGGCGCGGGTTCAGCAACCAGAGCCGTTCCGGCGCCATCGAGTTCCACAGCACGCAGGGGAACCATAGCGCAACGCCGATCTCCGCGAGCCTGAACACCAAGTCGTGCCAATTGCGCGATACCACCGGCACTCTGCACGAGAACAATTTTTTTTTTAAACAATTTATTCAGTATACTTGATACACAATACATTTATATGCCAAAAACCTCATAGACTTTATTATTTGTCTTAGCAAATAATTTTTATTTTGATTAATAAATTAAAGTTTTTTTTTTTATTTACTACAGATAGCAGGGAAGCAGTTAGTTACAAATGGTGCGACAATGGCTGATTATATATTTTTGTTCACGTGTCATAAGCAAACGCCATGCTTGATGGAGTGTGGACCTCAAAATATGTTGCAGGGAATTATTATTGGATGGAGAATTGTATGTATAAAAATTAAAAATACAAAACAGCGCAACAAAACTCCGCTTCCGGTTTATCCATTAATTACATCTTCAGGCAGATTTTTTTTATAGGCAGGGATCCAAGTGTCTTTAGTCTATATTATTATTATATCAGCCGTTAATTGCCCACTGCTGAACATAGGTCTTCCCCATTAGGGGAATTTTGCCACTAGTTGCCACGCTTGCCAGGCGGATTGGCAACCGCAGTCAGACTGTTGGCAACAATCAGGCTTTAGTGACGTTTTAATAGGGACGCTGCTGCCCATCCCTCGACCATGAAATTCCCTTAATCGCCACTTACGATACCTACGGATAGCCTATTCTATACCGAGACCACACGGCAGTTAGTTTATATTAAAAATCTAATCGAGCTGTTAATCTAAAAATTCAAAACTACGACGGCACTCACTTGGTCTTCCAGAACTCGCTGAGTGTCTCCGATGCGAGGAAGCCAACGATTAATATCAGCATCAGCGCCTGACTGATCAGACCAAACCTGGACTGGTGGAGTTGCGAGTGGTTCACGGAGCGGGGGTCGATGGTCCCATCGCCGTCGGTCAGGTCCGTCTGGATGCCCTGAACAGGAGTAAAGAAAATTAGTATACAATCACACCAGCTGTTTAACTCACGTTGCGAACATGATGTAGTTCAGTGAAACTATAATCGTCAATAAGTCTGTATAAAACATTTTTAATAACAAGCTCTTAAATTTTTTTTATACAAATTAGAATGGCAAACAAGCTGACGGCTCACCTGATGAAAAGTAACCGTCGCCTATAGACATGAGCAGTACCATGGACATAACAGAGTATACCGTTTCGCCCATGATACCCCCCATGCGTCGCCATTCCTGAGGACTCAGGTGTTATTGCTCTGTACTCTGTAAATTCACGTCATACCCCACTCTTCAAACCGAAACACAGCCATGCAAACACAACTGCTTTACGGTTGAAACACGAATGGTTTACCCCATTCGTGTACCCAAGCAAACGACTTTTGTACAGTCTCCCTCTGGTAAACTTATAACCCGCTACATTGTGATTGCGGCCATTTTTAAAATAATGTTACCTAATTTTCAAGCTCAAAATATACCCCAGGGCACCAGGCAAGCAGTATATTCATCACAATGGGCCAACTCACTTACCTTTTCGTTCTCACCTATCACCCCTCACTGGTGCCCCGCCAGCGTATACCATTAGCGCAAGTGGCCTTACCACTCCACTATTATCCATTAAAAATTAAATTCACGTTTGGTATAAATCACAAAGTAAACCCTCACCTGTTTGGTAACCAGAGTGTCCTGCGCCTCATCACCCTCGGCGGCGGTGGACGGACCGGGCCGCGGGGATATTATCGTGCACACCTTCGTCTCCTTCAGGAATTCACCTCGGAGCTGGAATCATTCGAACCCTCATTAATCTATATCTTTTTGACTTAATCATAACTAAAAGCTAAATCAAGATTTGGCCCTGGCATTGAATGGGCCACCCCTACATATGTTAAGTTGATCTTTTGTGAAATTCGTTTCGATGAACTAACTGACCTACTTTCATCCTCACCCATTATCCCTCACTGTTGCCCCGCCAGCGTATACAGATAGCGTAAGCCGGGTTACCAATCCATAATCATCCATCATGCCGTGACTAGTAATTCTTATGGTAAATAAAGCTTGGTAATTATTGGTTTTCCTACAATAAAATCATTATGAATAGACTAGAATGATGTATGACTTAATCATTATTTAGTTGATTAAATCGTGATTTGACAGCCGTAAATGTGTATTACGATCGAAGACATAAATTTTTTATAGCTTTCGTGATGATAAAGTACCTACCTACGGTGAAACTGGTAAAGTCATAAAATGTATACAATAAAACTGTGTGGAAAACAAGCGTTCTCAATTCGAATGTGTTGTATTTTAATGCAAGTACATTTTTTTTGTGGTCCCATAAAATGGACTGATGGACTGGATGAACACCTTCCTATCCCGTGAGTGACGTAAGAGGCCACTAAAGTAATTTAATGGTCGAAGGATGTGCAGCAGCGTCCCGCTTGTCAAGCGTGACAACTACTTGCAAAACCTCCCGATACGGAGCGCCCTAGGTTCAGCAGTGGATAGTTAACGGAGAATATGATTATGATGAATGTAAGTACAAATAAGTCTTCCTTTTTGTACTACAAACATTTTTATTTATATATTTTATGTAACAAGTTGAATCACTCTATCTATCGATAAAAACAGCATTAAAATCCGTTGCGTAGTTCAAAAGATCTAAAAGTACAGACGACGGGAAACGACTTTGTTTTAAAACTACGTAGATATTATATTAAAAAAATAATATTAAATGTAAATTCATAAACTTACTCGTACAATATTGAAATAAAATTAAAATGACATAATAATAATCTCATTCTTTCACCGAGACTTTACATTGCTCTCAATTTAAGTATGCCAATGTAAGTTACATACACAAATTACTAAAAACAAGTTTAATTCAATTTCGCGAATTAAGTATCATAAGAGTATCATTTTACATAATCAGTACTTTACAGTTGTTTGACTGTTTATTAAATTACTATCTTTTACCCGCGATTTCGACCGTGTGACCGGCACTCACTGGTGCCCCACCAGCGTATACCGTCAGTACAAACGGGGTTATCCATTAAAAAGAACCAGTGGCGCAGAAGACACGTTACTTTGTATAAATGAGGTCCCGTGTTCGATCTCCGGTTGAGCCAATTTAGGAAACGAACTTGTTTGAGTTAGCTCGTGTGTGGGTGTTCTGGGTGTGCTGATGAGATGCTCGTCGATTGGTTTCTTTATGAGAACAGATGAGGTATCCTAGCTTGAGGACTAGGTGATCGATGTGATTGTATAGTACTTTATTATTATTATAAACATTTTAGTTCTGAGGAATGAGGTGCAGCAATACAGTGCTTGCCGTGTGGTCCCGGCATAGAAAAGGCCACCTCTTCCTTTCCCGTGGGTGTCGTAAGAGAGCACTAAGGGGGGGGGGGGGGGAGGGATGACCAGCAGCGTCCTTCTTAAAACATCTACAAAGTATAACTGCGGTTGCCCATCTGCGTGCCAAACTTCTGGGAAATCCCTCCAAACCCTTCAAGGAGGATTGCTTATATTCAGCAGTGGACAGTTAAAGGCTGATATGATGATGATGATGATGATGATGATGATGATGATGATGATGATAGTGGTGATAGTGATGATGATATAAATTTGCCTAACATTGCCAATTAAAAATAGTATCCATACACGTAGGTATATATATACTATTTTTAATTTCAAATATTAGGCAAAATCAATAGTGAATAACAGGGGGGAAAGGGATTGTTAGTAATGGAGACTGAGACTCCCATTGCTAGCAATATACAAAACCAGGTCGACCAACTCGCGGTTCTCCCTGGAAACTATCATGGTTAATTCCTGATGAATTCATCATGATGGGCTAACTGGCCTGTTTTCATTCTCATCTATCACCCTTCACTGGTGCCTCGCCAGCGTATCCCGTTAGTGCAGGCGGGGCTACTATGCCATTTACACCCAATTAAAAAAAATAGTGGATAATTTGGTAATTAATACTTAGTAAAAGAGAATTAATAATAATCTTACAATACAAGTAAACAGGTTTTGTTCACACGCAAATATTTAAAGCCAATAAGTAGGCAAATTAAATATATTTTCAGTATCATTATTATTAACTTATACTCCACATATAACCAAAAAATACATTAATCCAGTGTTTTTAAAGTGTAAGGTCGCAATCCCTTGGGGGGTCTCTTTTTTTTTCTACAAGGGGGGCGCGAAGTAGTGAAAAATCAACAGTTACGTAAATACATCAATCAATTAATAATACATAATAAAGTATATAACAGATATCGATTATATGTCTGTTTTACATACTTTATTATTATTTTATTTTATCGATACCTAACTGTGAATATAAATACAACTGTACGAATTTCATAATTGTACTATAATAAAATTCATACACATTCGAAATGTTGTGAAATGAGCTCCCTGCCGAAGTTTTCCCAAGAGACTACAGCATGATGACCTGATTGGGTATATTGCTAGTAATGGGATTCTCAGTCTTCATTATATGTCCCCCTATTATATGTATTGATGATAGTGTCTTTAAGGTTTTGCAATTTTAAATGGCCAAATAAATAAAACACAATAGATGACTCATGTTCTTAATGAATATTTGACACGACAGATGCCTGTCAAAAGGAACAATATTATATGTGGCTAAGTAACAATTAAACAAAAAATATCCTATTAAAATAAGATATTGTAAGTATGTAAATAGTCGCATTCTACTCGTGTCATACTTGTGACGGCGAATATAATGCTGAATAGAGATTGCTTTGTCGTTTTTGATGGTAGCCTTATATTATACCTATTATATTCAGGGGTTTTCTTGGATAAATGCAGCGTTTTTCAATTTTCTCATGACGCGACCCCCTACCCTCCACGGTTTTTTTTACACCACTGAGGTGGCAAACAAGCATACGGCCCACCTGATGGTAAGTGGTTACCGTAGCCTATGAACACCTGCAATACCAGAGGTATTACGCACGCGTTGCCGACCCTGAAGAAACCTCTTTACCCCCCTTTTGAAGAACCCCATGCTGTAGTCTCTTGGGAGGAAAACCTCGGCAGGGAGCTCACTCCACAACCTGAGTGTTCGTGGAAGGAAACATCTCTGAAACCGCGCAGTACGCGACCATTGAGGCTGTAAGCTCTCACTTTCACATTTATAATATTAGGTTAGTAAAGATTAGTTTTTAATCGCGACTTTGTCGACTTTTTTTTTTTACAACACAGGGGGCAAACGAGCATGCGGCTCACCTGATGGTAAGTGACTACCGCCGCCCATGATCACCCACAACACCAGCGGCATTGCAGGTGTGCTGCCGGACTTTTAAGAAGGAATATACTCTTTTCTTGAAGGTTATGTTGTCGTATCGGTTCGGAAATACTGCTGCTGGAAGTTGATTCCAAAGAATGGTTGTGCGTGGAAGAAAGTGCCTTGAAAAACGCACGGTGGAAGACCGCCACTCGTCCAGATGATTGGGATGAAACTTTAGTTTGTGGCGGGTTGTACGGTGGTGAAAATCAGCAGCAGGTATCAATCCGAACAATTCCTCAGAACACTCCCCATGATAAATTCGGTAGAAGACGACGACGTATTTTATTAGTATTAGTTTTTTTTTTCAGACAGAAAACCTTTGGCACTAAAACCTTTCCATGATCTTTTGTGCTCACCCTTTTTTTTTTGAGTTGCTAATTCCTATCAGTGATAGGTATTGTAAGATGTTTTTTGTAGCAATGTTCTTTATCTCCTCAGGATATAAAGTTTATTTTCCAAGGAGATATATCGTTTATGTATGAGTGGGTTACAGCCACAAACTGTGTGCTGCGGCGTAACTGAATATTATTTTTGAGTGAACGAAAACGGAATGGTAACCCCGATTGCGCTAACGGTTTAAACTAGTGACGTACTAGTAAGATCAGTTGTGATTAATTCACCACAATGGTTACATAGGATGCATAGAGCTCGACTTGACAAGGTATATTGCTAGCAATGGTCCCATTAATCCTCATTACCAACAATCCTTTCCCCCAATTACACATTTATTGACTGAGACAAAAACAGCGCTCATCACATATATAATATTAGCAGTAACCCGCGACTTCGCCTGCGTCAATCAGTACGTAAAGAACCCTATATGCTAGACTAGGATTACCTACCCTACCTATATAATTGCCGTGTGTTCTCGGCATAGAATGTGTGAATGTGAAGTGAGGGCGAGGGATGGGCAGCAGCGTCCCTCTTAAAACATCTCCAAAGCCGAAATGCAGTTGCAAATCCACCTGCCAATCGTGACAACTATCGGCTAAAACCCCTACGGGGTAGACTTATGTTCAGCAGTGGACAGTTAAAGGCCAATATGGTGACTCTATCTATATACCAATTTTCATTCAAATCCATTCAGTAGTTTATGCGTGAAAGAGTAACAAACACCTACCGATCCATAGGATAATAGGATATTAGTCCAAGCGCGAACCCATCGTACAATAAAAAAACACATGCATACGTGATACCTATGAACAATACGTAATTACGGTATTATTGGCATCCATAAGAGGATGGAAACCCATCAAAAACTCCCATAAAACCATAGTTTTAAATAAGTGTTATTGCCGATTTGTTTGTCCTTTGTCATGATATATAGCGACTATTGTGATGTATGGCCGTGAAGGAATACCACAAATATGATTCCTACTACTTTTGACTGATTGGTTCGTTTCAATTTACATAGAAGTTTATATTTTAAACTAGCTTTCTGCCCGCTATTTTTTACGCGCGATTTCTTTTTTTATACCACAAAGGTTTTTTTTTACAACAACGAGCATGCGGCTCACCTGATGGTAAGTGACTATGATCACCCACCCACAACACCAGCGGCATTGCAGGTGCGCTGCCGGCCTTTTAAAAAGGAATATACTCTTTTCTTGAAGGTTATGTTGTCGTATCGGTTCGGTGTCATTCGGTGACAAATAAACATAGAACCCATCTAATGATAAACGGTTACAATATAGCCTATGGACGCCTGCATACACTAGGGGTGTCACATGAGCCGTTGCCGACTCTAAAGAAGCCTTAATATACCTATTTTAAAGATACTGTAGTCTCTAGAGAAAACCTCGGTATCTTATATTACGATAATAAATACCTTGAAATAAACTTCCACTCCATAGATGAGGAAGAAGATCACGACAATGAAGAGCAGCACAGCGTAGCAACCGTTGAAAACGTGTTGGTAAAAGTTCTGCAACGAAAACGTTATTATTCGGTACGTATTGCGGGAATTTACTGGGTACAGAGGAATAACACCTGAGTCCTCAGGAATGGCAACGCATGGGGGGTATCATGGGCGAAACAGTATACTCTGTTATGTCCATGGTACTGCTCGTGTCTATAGGCGACGGTTACCACTTTACTTCAGGTGGGCCGTCAGCTTGTTTACCATTCTAAATTGTATAAAAAGAAAGTCTCTACGAATTATGAACGCCACCACATGAGGCGCTGGTCTCGATTCTGAGGTGCCATTTCTCTAAAGTTTAGATTTAGAAGTCTAAACCTATTTCTAAAATAAAAATTTCAATTTAATATCACATCAATTTATTGTAAGGAAAAAAATATTCTTAATGGTACCTTTTTCTCGGCGGAGGTGTCAGCTACGTTGGTGGTCAACACTTCGGCAGCAAGAAGCGAATAGCTGATCACATTGAACGTCACGAAGGCAAGGAACGACTTGGAGAGGAACCTCGGCCGCTCCCAACGGATGTCGCGGAGGTGGAATACCTTTTAACAAACATAAATTACAGTTAAATATTTATTAATAGAACTATTGATTACTTCTGCTGTCCTAGTACTTTATGGAATTTTAACTAGGATTTTTAAGCAATTTGATATCCTATTAGGTCGATCTCCACGCAGTGTCCCTCATGGAAACCATCGTGGTTAATTCAAAATCAATAAATTAATTTTGAATTGTTGGACACCAGCAGACCGTCTCATGGTCGGTGCAATTAATTGTTTGTTTACATTATATCAAAACAGACTATACTCCTTCTTCATACCTAGTTACTCATACAGTATTCACTTACGTTTTCTATTAGCCTTCACATAATCCGCAGTTTCTCCTGACTGAGATGTTATACTGCGATCGTATCACGCGTTACGCGATTAATTCGCCACTTCTATAATACTTTTTTTTTTGCAATCAATAGGACTAACTCGGATTTATTTCAAAACTCGTGGAATAAAAACTATGGCAACAATCCGAACTCACAATCACAGACAGTGGGGTGGGTAGTGTTGGAACATAAACGTCTGTTGGGGTAATGACGTTCAAATACAATTAATAGATGCCTAGTTTTATACGCATAATACAGTATTATGCGTATAAAACTAGGCATGCAAGTAAAAAGGATGTTCCAAACTACATTATTAGACGACGCTTTTCTAAAAGGAACTGTAATTATTTCCATCACTTAATTAATACTGACAAATTTTTCCATTATGATATATCTAAATGTAATGACCCAAATAAAAAGGCTGAAACTTTTGTACTTGGACTAAAATATTTCTATGACATTGTCTTTCCAAAAAAGAAAACTTACGTAGTTAAAAATCAACCAGTATGGAAAACAAAAGGAATACTGAAATCTAGGGATACTCTAAATAAACTTGAATTTTTACAATGTGTTCTTCCTTTTGAAAAACGTAAACAAAGAATTCATAAATTTAAAAAATGTTTAAAAAAGGTAATGATTACTGCAAAAAGAATACAAATCTTATACAATATTAAAAATTCTAAAAATAAAGTAAAAGAGTGTGGGATACCATATCCAGATTAACAAATAAGACAAATCGACTAACACGTAATATAAACAAAATTAAAACACAAACTGGAACAATAATAACAAACCCAAATTTGATTGCACATTTTTTTAACAGTTATTGTTGTAATATTGGTAAAGAATTAAGCGATAAAATAAAAACGGATAAAAATAAAAACTATGAACTTTTATCAAGAACAAAAAAGCCAGATAAAACGATAATATTTAAAAGAATAACTCGAGATGAATTGTTAAAAATTATGCGTTCTATAAAAAATAAAAAATCTAGAGATATATATGACATGGATTACAAGATATTAGAACTTATATTTAATAATGATAAATTAATTTACTTATTACTTGATGTTGTTAATTCCTGCATTGACAACGGAACTTTTCCAGATGTTTTTAAATGTGGTAAAATTATCCCTATATTTAAAAAAAGTGACGCTGAGGACCCCTCCAATTATCGTCCAATATGTATTCTGCCAGTCTTATCTAAAATTATGGAGATAATATTAAAGAAACGTATAGTAAGACACTTTGAGGAAAACAATCTTTTTACTGACAAACAATATGGCTTTAGAACAGGAAAGTCCACCACAATGGCAATTACAAAAACTATGGAATTTATATTGGAGTCTTTGGATAGGTCCATGAAATGTGTAAGCGTATTTTGTGATCTTACCAAAGCTTTTGATTGTTTAAGGCACGACATAATATTGAGCAAATTACAATACTATGGATTTGAACATAAATCTCTAAAAATGTTGCAATCATACTTAAATAATAGGACACAAGCAGGAACATTAAATGATAATACTATATCCCACATACATAATATTAATATAGGCATTCCTCAAGGTTCCATACTTGGATCAATTCTTTTTCTTATTTATATTAATGATCTTCCGGCAAATTTACCAGAGGAAGTATTTGTGACTCTATTTGCTGATGATACACATGTAGGATTAAGAAATAAATATAGAACTAAATTGAATAGAATGATGGATAACACCATAAATTTATTAGGTGTTTGGTTTCAAGCCAATGGCATTATACTAAATGCAGCGAAAAATGTTTTTATGTCTTTCAGTACCCGTAAGAATAAAAAATCACCTCCAAACAATGCTTATAGTCAGAGTACAACATTTTTAGGATATACTATAGATAGTACAGTTAGTCATGAATCGCATATTGAAAAATTATGTAGTAAACTAGCTTCCACCAATTATGCCCTGAGTAAACTTAAGCAACTAATAACAAAAAAAGCTCTGAGAATGGTGTACTTTGCATATGTTCAGTCGTTGTTATAATACGGTATTACAATTTGGGGCAATGCAGCTATCGTGTTGAAAGTTTTAAGGCAACAAAAGCAAGCTATGAGGATTTTATGCGGAATTCATAAACGCACCTCAGTTAGACCTCACTTTATCCAACAACGTAAAATGACAGTGTCATCGTTGTTCATATATAATTCTTTACTTGAAATATATGATAAAGGAGGTACTTTTCGCAAAAATTCAGCCATTCATAGTTACGCCACTAGAAATAAAGACAAATTGGAATTGCCAAGAACACGACTCACAAAAACTATGAAACTTAAAATTAAAATTATATCTAAAAATAAAAATGTACAATAAATTACCCAATACAGCAACGCAATTGCCGAGAAATGAATTTAAAAATAAAATAAAGACATATTTTGAATAACATCCTTTTTACAACGTGACCGAATACCTAAATGCCAATATTAAATTATAGCATTATTATTTATTTACGTTTAACTAACTGTAAGAAGTGTGACAATTCAAATTTTATAACTTGAAGTCATCATTATTGGTATATAGTCACCATTATATTGACATGTATTAACTAATTTATAATGTTAACTATAATTCATTTGTAATTTTATTTTTATTTTATAATTTAAATCTTATTGTTATTATTTATTTTATTAATTTCAAAATTACAATGTAAATATTGACTTGCCATTGTGTGACGAAAACTGTTATATTGGTTAATAAAGAAATACGAATATCAATATGAATATTGTCCAAAGAAATATAAAATAAGAGTCAAATCCACAAAAACGCAAAATAGATAAGGAAAATAAAATCAAATAATCACGCAGAGAAAAAAACGACGAATGAAAGTGGAATAACGTATGAGATAGAAGAAAATGGATGGAAAGGAAAAACAAACAATTTTGCATTAACAATTACACTAGAATTCCAAACTGCAACTTAATATCCGGTCAGGACGCACCTCTTAATAGGTGGAACAATAAAAAAAAATAGGACTAACTCCTATATTGGTCTACGAAATCGCTTGTTAAAAACGGAATGAATATAGGAAATATACATATTATATAAAAATATCATACGATACTTGCTAATAATTTATATACACAGCAACGTACAGGTTACACTGATGGAAGTAACCACGCCATAATTGTAATATGCCCATTGTCCGGATTATTACATGAACAATGTGGATATTGACTATAATAAATATAGTCAATACAAGCTATTCACCCCGGATTTGCACGAGTAGATAGATAAATTAGTAATTTATGTTATCTTTATGTTAATTAGTAATTTTCGAAGCTTTGAATTACATTATTTTAATTATAATAGATTAAGTTTTTTTTTTATACAACTTAGAATGGCAAACAAGCTGACGGCCCACCTGATGGAAAGCGGTAACCGTCGCCTATAGACATGAACAGTACCATGGACATAACAGAGTATACTGTTTCGCCCATAATACCCCCCATGCGTTGCCATTCCTGAGAACTCGGGTGTTAATCCTCTGTACCCAGTAAATTCACGCCATATCCCACCCTTTAAACCGAAACACAGCCATGCAAACACAACTGCTTCACGGATGAAACACGAATGGGACAGAGGTACCCAAGCAATCGACATTTGTACAAAGTCTCCCTCTGGTAAGAAGTTTTTAATTCGTACATTACAAACAAACATACATAGAAAAAATCAAATTCTTGCTCTTTATAATATTAATACATATATAGAATATATAGAAACAAATCTACCTTTAAATACAAATTACGGGTTGACTTTCTAAAAAACATGTAACACATTTAAATGGATATTTTTCTGCCTTAGTTTCTTTCAACTGCTGTTCTTATTTATTATCATTATATTATATACTTGTATGTAGCAACATTATTTGTACATATTTTAGTTGTAAATGCATCGCCTACATACTGGTAGAGAACGACATTAGGTGTTAAGTCCGCCATATGTATGTTATATAATAGTGCATTGAACATTAAATAAATAAATATATTAAACAAAATGTAAATAGAACTAACTCCCGCCATAGTAACCTACACTAACATTATAAAGAGGAAATATTTGTATTTTTGTATGTTTGTAATGAATAAACTCAAAAACTATTGGACCGATATAAAAAATTCCATCATAATTAGAATGCTACATTATCCCTGAGTAACATAGGTTACCTTTAATATATAATTATATTATTTTCTATCTACCCGCGCGAAGCCGGGACGAGTCGCAAGTTAATTATATTTATAGGGTCATATTTATTACGAAAATATCATGCTAATGAGACTAGGAATTTTCAAAAATTTTTCACATTTTAATTTTTGATTTACAAAAGTCCTGTCCTAATATTCTATAGTATAGGGTAGGTACTTTCTTAGTTTCGCGTAAAAATAACGATATTGACTTCAACGTGACCACGGGAAATATCATTACATCTTAAATAGGCATAATTGCCTAATTAATTAATTAGACCAACGCTGGACAGGTCCAGATATTGGGGTCATTTCGGAGGCACCATTTTTTTTATTTTAAGTACGATAATATATAATAGATACATACATATCTGTCACGCCTGTCTCCCATTAGGGTAGGCAGAAATAATGGATGACAAATGCTTTGATTCGTTAATATATAATAAATAGTA